CAGCTGGTCCACATCAGATGTAGCCTGGACCATATCTGTTAGAGGCTCCTGCCTGACCCTTACACCGCAGCGAGCTTGTTTTTGCCTTAAGAATGCCCCACAAGGGGTGCATTGATGTGCAGTCCCTTCCTCCAGGTACCATCGCCAAGGCTCAGGGCTTCAGCTGACATCAGCAGGAAGGGTCAGGGTCAGGTCTGTGTTATGGAGGACCACACTGGGCCTCGTCTGAACGGCTGTGCCAAAACAGAGGAAGGGAGGTCTGGAATGAGGCTGCAGCTGCAACGTTCTGGGAATCACTGAGGCTGTCTTCCCAGAGGAGGTGCCCCACAGGCAGAGGTGTCCACAGGACACACTGCCCTCAGGCCACAGAGCAGGGAACCGGCAGAAGCGACCTGACCACCTGCTTGGCCTGGACTGGCCAGAAGCTCCTACACGGGTATCCCCACTGCCCTGCCAGCCCTCCTGCCATCCACCTGAGACTCCAGAAGGTGGCCGCACACCTTGTCAGGCCAGTCACCCAAGACACACCTAACACCCACAGAGAGAACATCAAAGCCGGGCCTGCTGTGCCAGCTGCAGCCCCAACCTGCCGTGACGCAAGACGCGGCAGTGGCAGAAGCCGTTCGTATGAGGGCCTCAGTTTGACGCCCGAGTGGTTTTCCCAGCCTGTGAGGAGCCATTGTGCAGGCACAGGTCCATTGATCAGCCAGCCCTGCAAGCCCAAGGGTTCAGACCCAGGGGCAGGTGGGTGAACTGCCTATGCAGCCCACATCTGCTTTTGACACCACCTGGGGCGTTCCTGCCAGTGCTGGTGGCATCTGCTATCTGGATGACAAACTCTCAAGTTACTGAGGACCCAGCCAACTCCAGAGGCCCATGAAATTGTCCCCTACAGCCCCAGTCCCAGGGACAACACGGGGCTCAGCACGGCCACTCCCCTCTTCTCCTCACCAGAGTCGGACACTGAGTCGGCTCCCAAGAGCACAGGTTGGCTGGCGCCCACCCTGAGCCATGTGTTCTGCTGGGGTCAGGAAAAATGTTCTAGTAGAACAGAGGGTGGAACCTGCTACATTCCTGACACTGGCTGGCTAGAGGCAGGCAATTAACATGGTTACCAAAGAAGACTAGTAGAATATGGTGGGCTGAGCGCAGGCTGGGGTGATGGCCAGCATGGGCCCCAGACAATGACACATAGAAGGCGGCATGTGGGGGCCCACACCATCTGTGCCCAGATTCTCTAGGGAGCAGAGCAAGCAAGGGCCCAGGTCTCCAGGTCTGTGTTGACCTTCCAGGGGCACCACCCATCGAAGAGAGCCACCCCCGGAGGTGTTCTCAGCAGTATTCGGGGAAGCCAGTGCCCACAGCACTCCTTGCTCAGCTGCTCTGTTCCGAGGGAAGCCACTGAGCAGAGCCCCCAGGCCAGGGAGGGCCAACAGCTAGGGCAGCCCTAGTGCCTTCAGTCTTCATTATACCTGCTCAGCTCCTTGCCTCTGGCCACCCAGGGTAGAACTCTGCTCTGCATAGTGCAGGCCGGTTTGAACCAGCCAGGCTCAGAGGCCTGGTCACCAGGAGCTCTGGTCAGAAGCAGAGTCATCAGAAGCACCCCACCCAGCTGGGAGACAGAGTACACCAGGGACCAGTACCATGGGGCCCATAATCACACCAGGCCCAGCTCCAGCTCATCCACCAGTGGGGAGACAAGGAGACTTCCCAGTTCCCCTGTGATCTTGCACTATTGGCTTTGCTTGTTGGAGTCTCCCTCGAGGCCCAAGAAAGTAAGTTCTGGCCATGCGCGGTGACTCATGCCTGTAATCCCAACACTTTGGGAAGCCAAGACAGGTGGATCACCTGAGGTAAGGAGTTGAAGACCAGCCTGGCCAACATGGCGAAACTCCATTTCTACTAAAAAAACATAAAAATCAGCCACGCATGGTGGCAGGCACCAGTAATCTCAGCTACTTCAGAGGCTTAGGCAGGGAGAATTGCTTGAACCCAGGAAGCAGAGGTTGCAGCGAGCTAAATCCTGCCACTTCACTCCAGCCTGAGTGACACAGTAAGACTCTAAAAAAACAAAAACCAAACAACAACAACTTCCGCCTGGGAGGATGGAAGGTTTCGAGCCAGGAAAAAGGGGCTGGAGAGTGGGCACGTCTTGGAAGCCGACGCACTGCCAAAGCCGAGGGGCAACTGCTAACTCTGGGGGCCAGTGGCTGTGAAAAGCCCTTCCCTTGCTGGCGCTGGTGCCTGACACCCAGGAGGGTGGGTGAGAGCCAGTGCCCTCTCTCCAATGGGGTCCTCCCAACAAGGTCATGGCAGAGCAAGAAGGACTTAGAGATCCAGAATTTGGGGAAACGACAACCCACACTAGCCCTATACCACCTGTTACAAAAGGAGCCGCTCATCCAGGCCCCCAGCTTAAACGCAAGCAGGGAAACAAAGCCCCATTAGCTACTTCCAGCTCCTATAAGTGTAAACAGCTGACAGAGAACCTGCTTCATTTCTCACAGGGACTGGGGAGTTGAAAGGGAAAGAAACAGGGAAGGTAGGGGCACTGTACTCTGCCTCTGGTGTCAACCATTGTCTGTCTCTACTGCTACCTGGGAAGGGGCATGTCAAACCCACCTGGGCCACGTACCCTCTCTAACGGCCTTAAGTTGCTTAAGGGCCGAGTCCAGCTGCCATGCTGGATGTGAAGGTGGGGGAGACGGGTGGACCGGCCTCCTGGAGCACTGGTTGCCAGGAAGCCTGGCCTGGCCTGGGTGAGGTGGGCAGGAGCCTAGCGTGGGGCATGACAGGTCCAGTTGGATGCAGGGTTCGGCTGGGACTGGAGAAGGTACCCAGACTGTGGGACTTGTTGCAAGCGCTTCATCCAGACCAACAGCAATCCCCTCTCTCCTTACTGTTTTTCAGAATGAAGCAGAAATGGACTAAGTAAAAAGATTCTTCCACCCAGGAGGCTAGAAAAGGAAACGTCCGCAGGATGTTCAAGAGCGGAGGGACAGGCTCGGGGGTGTGGCTGCCAGAAGAATGGGGAAGGAGCTCTGGAGCACAGGACTCAGTCCAGGGAGCTTGGGACCGGGTGGGTTGGGGGGAAGCAGTTGTGGGGTAAGGGTCAGTTTGAGGGTGTGGATTTGGGGTGGGGAGTGTTGAGAGGATGGTGGAAAAGTCTGGAAAAGAGAAGGCAGACATAAGCGAAAGACACGCGATTGAGATCGGAAAGTAACGTGGGTCAGAACACAGAAAACGGGTCCCGAGCAGAAAATGATGCCCGGAGAGAAAGACAACGAGGAGCTTCGGAGCAGGCGCTGGAACCCCGCTGGGCGAGGAAGTGGCTGTAAGGGCCGGAGAGGGTTCCCGGCCGCCGGGGCCCGCGGGCCTGGCCTCCGAGGAGACGCGGATCCTGGGGCCCCGCGGCGGGGGCTGCAGCCCCGGGCTGGGCCGGGTCGGGGTCGGCCGGCGGCCCTACCTGGTACACGGAGGCCTTGGGCAGGTCCAGGCACACGGTGCAGCACAGCACCGAGTAGAGCCGCTCCTCCAACTTCCCGCTGCCCGCCGCCGCCGCCGCCGCCGCCGCCTCGGCCGCCTCGGCTGCCCGCAGCCGCTTCTTGGGCGGCGCGTCGGGGTCGCCGGCCGCCTCCTGCAGCTGGAGCTGCCGGGCGCCCGCCAAGCCCGCCTCGTCCGGGAGCCCAGGCCCCGCCGCCTCGCCCAGTGCCGCCGCCGCCGCCGCCGCTTGCCCGGCGGCCGCCCCGGGCCCGGCTCCGACCCCGACCCCGACCCCGGCCGGCACGGCGCCCGCGGGCCCCGCGGCCGGGCCACCCCCGCCGGCCTCCTCGGCGCCGGACATAGCGGCCGGCGGGCCCGGCTGGCGGATGCCGGCGCGCTCCCGCGGCTAGAAGTTAGGGGCGCCGCGCGCTCCCGCCGCTCTCCAGCCGCCGCCGCCGCAACCCCGCAGCTCCGCTCCCTGCGCCGCCGCCTCAGTGGGCCCGGCCCGCGCGTCGCCCCGCAGCCGCCGCGGCCACCGACCCCGACACGGCCGCCATCTTTGTTTTCGCTGTGCGCTTCCCCCCGCCCCGCCGCCACCGCCCCCTCGTCTTCCCCGTCACGTGAGCTCCGCGCGGGGCCAATGGGAGCGCCGCTTGGGGCGAGACGGCACAGGGACCAGAACCAATGGGAGCGCGAGGGTCCCCCGAGGGCCCGCCCCTGCAGGAGGTGGGCAGGAAGGGGCGGGGCCCGTGCGAGCCACCGAGGGACGCGCACCTGGGCCTGGGGAGGCCCACGCGAGCTGCGGCATCGGCGCAGCACCCACGCTCCACGAGCCAGCGGCGGCGGAGCGCAGCCGCTGACTCCTATGGCGGGGTGTGCTTGCGTCTTTGTCCCCCAAGTCTCGTGTCTTCTTCCCGGAGGGGAAGGGCACAAATGAAAAACCCCGCCGGCCACCCTTCTCTGTTCCGTGCGGGATCCGATAGGTCTCCACAGGACGCAAGCGGAGGGACTTCCGGGGAGAAGGGACTCCAGACCCCTAACCCCCCGGAATGTAATCCTCTGCTCATCCGAACCCCTCCTCCTAACCCTAGGGTTGGAGGCTGAAGGGGTCCACTGAGGAAAATGAAGTTCTTAGGGAACAGGGCTGGCTTCCACAAGCCAGAGGCACACAGGAGGGCAAATCAGCCCTGGGAGGATGTGCGTTTCTGGAAATGACTGTGGTATAGCCGTCCCCTGCGTCCACCCTAGCCGTCAGTCTTTGAAGGTCACTGCCCCAGAGGGCCACCTGCCAGGCCAGGATATCTGGAACTCCACCATGTCCCAGGAGAGTAAGGGCCCAGGGCTACGTCTTCTCGGTCCAGGGGTCCCAGACAGTAGTCAAAAGGAGACCAGGCTGGATGAGGCCCCATGCTAGTTCCAGCATATACGCTATCAGGGTAACCAGCTGCTGCCCTGATGGCCTTTAGGAAGCTCACTGAAGGATCCCTCAATCCCTCTCAAAAATGGGCAGATTCCGTATTCCTGCAAAATTCCTAAGATTTATTGGAGACTAGGCCTCTTCTCTGGATCCACAACCACGTCTAGCCCAGAATCAGGGCCCCCAAATGTATCTGGGACCCTGTCCCTTTCATTTTGGTCTAGACAAGTCCCCACAGATGGCCAAAGGACAGCACCCAGACTCTGCCCCTGATCAGTCAATGTGCAGCAAGCCCATTTCAGTGGGCAGGAGAGTCTACTCCTAGGGGAGAAAAGCCCCAGGAGCTGGCAGGTGGGAGGGGAAGCGGTCGGCAGGGCAGAAACCCTGCCTTGCTGTATCCAGCTGTCACTCCCATTGCAGGCGCTGTGTATGCAGGGCCCGGCAGTAAGCCCAGCTGCCTGCAGCCAGGGCCCAGCGACAGACATCCTCCTTCGGTAGCAGCAACAGCCTGTCCTCCTCCAGCCGGCTCAAGAGGCCTGCTACACCCAGCATCGCACCCCCCCACATCCCATAAGTGTTGGCCGTGAAGACAGCCACAATGAGGATGGTCACTGCGACCACCAACAGCATTGCCTGACCAGCCACAGAGCGGCCCTCAGGGCCGAGATGGCCGCCAGCCACTGCTAGCACCATGCCTCCTCCCAGGAGCAGGTTGGCAGAGGAGCGGTCCCCATTCACCCAGTGGAAATCGAACGCCAGAAGGGGCAGGCCGATGACGGTGGCCACCCAGGCTCCAGCAAGACAGTCTTCATGTGTGCTCAGCCCTGGGGCCAGCATGGTGGCGGCCGCCAAGACCTGGAGCAGGAAGCCAGCAGCAGCCCCTCGACTTGCCTGTCAACACAGAGAAGGGCGGACATGAAGGAAAAACAGGCCGGGGCCACTCTTTTTCCTTTTATAGGAAAGGGTTCGGGGCTTCCTTGGAGACCTGGTCTTAGATTGACTTCCCACCAACCTCACCCTAATCCAGGAAACTAGGTCCTTGGGATTTGGGAGGAATGGGGATGCGCCCGTGCTCAGACCCAGTGTACTCACCTGGGCGGTGCTCGCGGCTGCGTGCAGAGATACCACTCCCAGCACCAGATGGGACAGGGCTGTGCTCCACTCAACCCCCGGCTTGGGGGCCATGGCACGTCGGGCAGTAGTAAGTTTGAGGACGTAGATAACAGATATTCAACTCTGGAGACGAAGAAAGTGCAGAAGCCAGCGACCTGGAGCCCTAAGCGCGGCACTAGTAGCCCAGGTTCCAGGGCCCCATTACTAGTTAGGAGAGATTCAGTCCTCAATTTTCGGATCCCTGAGGCCACTGCACACACCTGTGGGGAAGAATAACTTAATTCAGCCGGGAAACAGCGGAAAATGGCTTAGGTAGGCTGGGTGGGGGGCGTGAGTCCTGGGGCCCTGGAGCCCAAATCGGGGTGCCGGGCCCGGGGGAGAGGGAGCGGCGGCCTCGGCCTAATCCCTGCGCTCCGGGAGGCGCCGTCCTGGGAGCCCGGGCGCGGGAGGAGCGATGGCGCAGGACTCCCGGCGGCCTGCCGTGCGCAGTTACCCGGCTGCGCGGTCCCCACGCAGTGGCTCGCCGGAGGCCAGAGCCCGCCCGACGCACCGCCCCCTGCCCCGGGCCCTGCCTCCTCCGCCAGGCCTCCGGTTGCGAGAGCGAGCTTGGCCGGGAACTTCCACCACCGAGAGGAGCAGAGGCTAGAGCGGGCCGGGGCGGGACTAGAGTGACTAGGGGCGGGGCCTGGGGCGTCGGCTGGAGGCGCTGGGAGCGGGTGGGGTTGGGAGGAGCTCGGGAACCAGAAAATGCACTGTTTGGGTGGGTGCGTGGGCACAGCGGTTTGGAAGGAGCGTGATGAGGGGAGAAGAGCCTGGGCGGGGCTGCGATGGGCGGGGTCTAGGCGGGGCTGCGGGGAGAGGTGGGGTCTGGGTGGGGCTCCGGAGAGGGGAGGGTGATTCCCCGCGTGAAACCGGAGCGATGGAGAACTCCGCGGAGGGCGGGAGGGTTTCCGAGAGGAGGGTCGCGGGAGCTGTGGGCGCTCTCAGCTCGGTGTCCGCGGTGTAGGGTTTGGGGCGCGCGGAACGGCGCCGTGAGAAGCAGCCGGTGTGCAGGTGCAGCCGCAGGCACCTGTTTCTGGGACCCCCGTCCCCGTGCGCGCCCCGCAGCCGTGGGAGCCGGGCCGTGGGGGCGGCCGTCGCGAGCATGCGCACCGGCACTGCGGCGGCGGGCGCCGAGTCGGGGCGCGGGGACGCGGGGCGGCGCGAAGCGGGGCCCTCAGCCGCCCCGCGCTCCCATGTACGCCTTCTACTCGCTGCTCATCTACATTTTCTACAGCCTCTTCCGCAGAGATGGTGGCGCCGCGGCGGCCGCGGACCCCGGGGACCCCGCCCAGGTGAGCGGGGCCGGCCGCGCAGCCTGTCGCCCCCGCCGCCCGCCCCACCCCCACGCCGAGGTTCCCGGGGCGGGGGCGGGCGCGGGGCCGTGCTGAGGACCCTGGGCTCCGCTCCGGTGCTGCAAGCGCAGACTTCGGCCCAGACCCTCCGGCCCGGTTCGCAGAGGGAAGGGCCCGCGGGCCGCCTGCCCACTCCTCAGCGGCGCCCCTGCTCCCTCCCTAGAGAGCTCGTAAGTCCCGGGGTCGCCGGCGCCCAGACCTGCCCGCACCGGAGCTGTGGACCGAGCTGACCGGCCTGGCCGGTAGGTGCAGGCCGGGAACCCAGCGGTGCGAGGGCGGTGCTGGGACCTCCCTGGGAGGGGCGGAGGCCCAGGCTCCAGCACGTGACCCGAAATGCCTCCCGCCCCCCTTCGCGACCTGCAGGCACCTCCGAGGCTGAGGATGGGTCGGAAGACGGAGCCGAGGGCCGCGCGGCCGCGGTGTCCCTGGAGGAGGCCCTCCTGCGCCTGGCCGAATTCCTCTCCGTCCAGCTGGGGGCGGAAGAGAGCTGCGGGAGCCCGGCCGACCTGGGCCAGGTGAGCGCGGCGGAGGGGCTGCGGGCACCTGCCGCCTGCGCCGGCCTTCCTGGCTCTCACAGCCCTGCTCCAATTCTTGTCGCCTCCGCAGTCCGGCGAGGTGCCCCCACTGTTGACAGTGACCAGCCAGCTCTTGGCCCTTCTGGCATGGCTTCGGAGCCCCAGGGGGAGGCAGGCCCTGCTCCAGGGGACTGAGCCAGCTCCTCAGGTCGGGCCCTCAATTCCGGATGGTAAGTGAGGGGGAGTACGTTGAAGAAGGGCTCTGGAGGGAGCAAACCCCGTTAGAACCTGAGCGGCCTGGAGTTCGGGGTCCCAAGGCCAGCCTCGTTCCGGAGGATTCAGACCAAAAACCTTTTCAGTGCTAACTGGGTCCTCCCGACTGCAGGATCCACATCCCAAGAAGAAAGCCCTTCCCACCTCGCCGCAGTCCCAGGTGAGCCCCCGGGGGATGAGGCGCAGGGACAGCAGTCCCTCCAGTTGGAGGAGGACCACAGGGCGTGGCAGCGGCTGGAGCAGCTCATCCTGGGACAGGTGAGGGTCCCAGGAGCCAGCAGGGATTGGGAGCTGGGGCGCCGGAAAAAGGAAGTCCACTCTGTCTCTCTCACTTCTCCCCAGCTGGAGGAGCTGAAGCAGCAGCTGGAACAGCAGGAGGAGGAGCTGGGTCGCTTGCGCCTGGGCGTGGTGAGGCTGCGGGGGATCTGGCAGGGCGGGGCTTGGCGGGTGGTTTCAGGTGAGTGCTTAGGCTTTCTCTCCGTCAGGGGGCGACAGACTCAGAGAAAAGGGTTCAGCATCTGACCCTGGAGAACGAGGCCCTGAAGCAGAGCCTGAGCCTGACGCGGGATCTCTTGCTGCACTGGGGCCCAGGGCCCCCCACCAGGGCTTCACAGGTACCCTGCTCCCGAGCTGCAGCCATTCCTGCAGCCTGGGGCTCCTGCACACCTGGCGTGCAGCCACAGGGCACAAGCATCCTGGGGACCTCCCGGGGTGGCCTGTGTTGGGCAGCCCCATCAGGGAGGCCGATGCCTGCGGGAGGACCCCCCTCTCCATGGCCCCTCTGAGTGGCTGGCCGCAGGAGAGCAGACGGACGGTGGAAAGGAGCTCTGCGTGGAGTTGGGAGGCACGGGTTCACAGCCAGCTCTGCCCATGTCTTGACTTGATTTTCCCATCTGTGAAACGGTACCGCAGAACGCCCCTCTCTGAGTTCCCTCCTGGCCCCCACCCTCCCGCAGGAGGAGGCGGAGGCATTGGTGGAGCTCCAGGGCCGGCTTCAGGAGGCCCAGGACACCACAGAAGCCCTCCGAGCCCAGGTGGGTGTGGGGCCCAGGGATCTGTGGCTCGGGTGAGGAGGGCTTGGGTGTTGGGAGGGGCTTATCTGAGGCAGGGCCTGGTAAGTGCCTGTTTCCTCAGTGACGGGTGGGGTTGGGCGGGGCAGCTGGGGGTGCAGGAGGTGCAGCTGCAGGGCCTTCAAGGGGCCCTTCAGCAGCTCCAGCAGGAGACGGAGCAGAACTGCAGGCGGGAGCTGCAGCAGATGCATGGGCAGCTGGCAGGTAAGGTCTGGGGCTTGGGCTCACGGGAGGTCCTGAAGGCTGGGCCTTCCCGTCCAACAGACTTTCCTTTCCAGGACTTCGGGCACGGATGGCCAGCCTGCGTCAGGGCTGTGGGGACCTCCGAGGATTGGTCAGCACCTTTACCCAGAGCTGTCAGGGTTCACTGAGTGAGGCCCGGGGCCAGGTCAGGTCCCCTCCCCACCGAGCCCCTCCTCTCTGGGCAGCCTGTTCACTTTTCTTTTGATGGGGGTGCACCTGGGGAGCTGGCTGTGCTAGAAAGTGGGGCTCTGAAATCCAAACGGCTTCTGTGTGACCCAGAGTATGATTTCACTTCTGAGCCTTGTTTCCATCCTGTGCAAACCTGGTTGATAGTGAAACTCTCACAGCATTGCCCAGAGTCACAGAGGAGACAGATGATGTGGTGTCCCTGCCTGTTATTCCTGGGCTTTATCCTGGGCTAACTGAATGATGTCCCCAGGGGCCCAAAGCCAGTGAAAATTGTGGATCAGCACAGCTGGGGGGTCCCATGGGGGCTTCTTGCTACTCTCAGCACCCCGACCCCCACCTCGGCAGCTGCTTGGCTGACTGTACATCCCTGTTTCCTCAGGTGTCCTGGGCCTTGGGGGCACTGTCATCTGGAGGGCCTGGCACTCAGCTCCCTGAGGGGCAGCAAGGGCCCCCAGCCGGATGCCCAGGGCGGCTGCCAGAGCTCAAGGGTATGGCAGGCTTGGGAGCCTGGGGGCAGGGAGGGTGGCTGGAGGAAGTGTAGCCTCTCTGTGCTTTAGGGTCTGGGAGGCATCTTGCTGACCTGATCCCTACTGCAGGAAATATCCGTGTGCTATGTCGCCTGAGGCCAGGGACACCCTCCAGCCTAGTGAGCGTGGAGCCCGGTCCAGGGGGCACTGTCACCACCTGCTACCGGGGACGCCATCGTCGATTCCGCCTAGACTGGGTCTTCCCCCCAGACGCCAGCCAGGAGGAGGTGACAGCCTGCCTTTGAACCTATGCTGACCCCTTCTCAGAGTCCCCTGAAGAACAAGAGAGGCTCCAGTTTCCCCTTTCCAGTCTAGCTGCCTATCTGGATGAGGGAGGGCGGCTGGGCTGTAGTCAGGAGGGAAAGGGAACTGAGGAGGCTGGGAGGCAGGACAGGCAGCCCAGCATGGTGTTTCCTGCTCCCAGGCTTCACTGCCTGCCCACTCCCCTTTGCTGGGGTCTAGGGTCTGCCCAGCTATGAGGGCAGGTGCCCCTCATTGCTTTGTGGCCCCGAGGCCTGTGGTGAACGGCCATGGGTGAGCAGCTTCTTGCCTTAGTGTGCTGTCTCTGCCCTGCCTGGATCCCACTCTCCTTCCCTACCCTTTTCCTGCCAGATACCTGTGGAAAAGCAGGGGCTACAGCCCCAGCCCACCCCATCTTCATCTGCACGCACCCTTTGCTGCTAGATCTCCCGTAGCAGAGAGGGTCTGTCACTCAGGTTGTCATCTCAAGGGCCTGGCACTCAGTTCCCTGAGGGGCAGCAAGGGCCCCAGCCGGATGCCCGGAGTGGCTGTAAGAGTTCAGGGGTATGGCAGGCTTGGGAGCCTAGGGGGCAGGGAAGGTGGCTGGAGGAAGTGCAGCCTCTCTGTGGAGAAAGGAGATGGTGGCTCAGAGCCAGGGGAGACTAGGTAAGGGACAGAATGGCAGTGACTCACGCCCAGGTTACCTGCCAGCCTCACGGACAGGGTGATGACTGCCCAGCAGGTGGCCAGGGTCACCCTGATTCCTTCTTTTCCAACTACTTATCTCTTCATCCCACACATATCTCTGGCCAAACTACAGCCCTGCACAGGGCATGCCTTGAGCACTGTCCTCTGGACAGCTGTCTTGGACAGGGCCCTCTAATTCAATGTGTCTGAACCAAAGGCTTCTGTAGCCAAGCCCCTCACCTGCGTTCCCATTTCTGCAGTGGTGCCATGATGCACCCCCTGAATGTCATCCACAGCACCACCTCCATCCAGTTATGGAATCTCAGTGACCACACAGAGCCCAGAATTCTAGATTCTGGCCTCATGGCAGTCTTCAAACAGAGCTGACAACCTACCCAGTTACCAGTGACCTAGGCATAAAAGCCAGCCATGTTGTTGCTCAAAAGATTGTTGGTGTCCAGTGCCAACGGGGTGAATGTCCCAGCCCTGTCTCAGCTACCTCTGTACTTGTCCCTGCCACCTAGACTTAGCAGGCCTGGCTGGCCACCATTCCCCACACCTGTAGGCCCTTCCTGGGCTCACGGTTTGTGAGCCAGGTACTGCTCTGGCCCTCTAGGTGCACTGCCACAGGCATTCACATCAGGTGCCACTACAGCCCTTACTCCCTAGAGGGAAAACTGAGGCACAGGAAAGCCAATGAGTAAACTCCAATCATACTGGAGTGTGAATCGGGCAGTCAAACCTCAACATCTAGACTCTTAAAATCTTTTTTAAAATTAGATATACACATACATATATATATATATATATATATATATGCACCTTTTTTTTTTTTTGACAGTGTCATACTTTGCCTTCAGGCTGGAGTGCAGTGGTGCGATCTCAGCTCACTGCAACCTCTGCTTCCCACGCTCAAGAGTTCCTCCCACCTCAGCCTACTTTGTAGCTGGGACCACAGATGTGCAACACCATGCCTGGCTAATTTTTTGTAGTTTTTGCAGAGACAGGGTTTCACCATGTTGCTCAGGCTGGTCTCAAACTCCAGAGCTCAGGCAGTCCACCCACCTTGGCCTCCCCAAGTCCTGGGATTTTTGTTCATGTCGGCTTCCACGTAAAGGACACCACACCTGGGCTCTTGGGTGCCGCCCAGGCCTCCTGGGTGGATACCACACCTGGGCTCTTAGCTGCTACTCCAGGCTCCTTGGTGGCATCCAGGACTACAGATCCTCCACATAGGCTGTTCCCTTTTCTCATCACGTCTTTTCCCTCTTTGCCTGGCAAAGTCTTGCAAGCATCAGCTTCTCCAGGGAGACAGCGGTTCTCAATAGGACACTTCCTCCCCCATAGTCCCTTAGAGCCATCCTCCCAGGGACTAGGCTCACACTCTGCCTTCATAGCACACTCCACCCCACCAAATAGGTCACAAACAGGCAACATGAGGGGTACTCAAAAACACTTTCTCCCACCTCCCCCTAGGTCTTCAGAGAGCTGGAACCTGCGGTGCTGTCCTGCCTCCGAGGCTACAGCGTCTGCATCTTTACCTATGGCCAGACAGGGACTGGGAAGACCTACAGCATGGAGGTGGGACGGAGCCCACGCCCCAGTGGGAGAGGCCCTGGGGACTCTGCATGACTTGGATGTGAGCCCGCTGTGCACCCCACCCCACCCTCAGGGCCCTCCTGATGATCCCGGCATAGCTCCTAGGGCACTACAGTCGCTGTTCCGGGAGATGGGGGCTGGCAGGCCACACCGGGTGACACTCAGCATGGTGGAGATCTACAACGAGGCTGTCAGGTCGGCTGCTCCCCACGGTTGGCCTCCGCCCCACCCTTGGCCCAGGGCCCTTCTGGATTTCCAGAGAACCCTGGAACTAAGCCCTTCCTCTTTCTCACTAGGGACCTCCTTGCCCCAGGGCCTCCCGAACGCCTGGCCGTGAGGCAGGGCCCAGAAGGCCAGGGCGGGATCCAGGTGGCTGGCCTCACTCACTGGGACGTGCCCAACCTGGAGACACTGCACCAGGTAAGGCTGCTCCGCCCTCCGGGACCCCCGTGCTTCCGCTTGGGGGCGGGGACCCTGCACCAGACCAGCCCTGCTGCCTCGTCTTCCAGATGCTGAGACTGGGGAGGAGCAACCGGGCCACCGCTGCCACCGCCATGAACCAGCGTAGCTCCCGCTCGCACGCCCTGGTCACGCTGACGCTGCGCGCGGCGTCTCCACCGCGCGCTCCAAGCACCGCAGGTACCACGGCCCGTGCCTGAGCCCTGCGGAGTCTCCAGCGCACCCGAGGCCCGGCCTCCCCACATGTCAGGCTCGCTCGCCCCTTTAGGCACACTGCATCTGGTGGATCTGGCGGGATCCGAGCGCGCACGGAAGGCAGGGGAGGCCGGCCCGCCGCGGGGAGACCCAGACGGCGCCCGGCGCCTGCGGGAGGCCCAGACTATCAACCGCTCGCTGCTGGCGCTGGGAGGCGTGATGGCCGCACTGCGGGCCCACCGGCCACACGTGCCCTTCCGCGACTCGCAGCTCACGCGACTGCTGCAGCCTGCGCTGGGCCCGGGCACCACCGCTGTGCTGCTGCTGCAGGTGGGCGCCGGGGCGGCACAGGCGTGGGGCGGGGCTGTGCATCCCAGGCGCTGCCCACCCGGGCCCGCCCATCGGCGCCACTTGCCCGCAGATATCCACGCGGCCGGAGGATCTGGGCGAGACAGTCTGCTCACTCAAGTTCGCCGAGCGAGTGGGTCAAGTGGAGCTGGGGCCAGCCCGGCGCCGCAGGGTCCCACGCTCCTCCGGGACACCCTCCTCCCTGAGTACCGACACTCCGCTCACCGGGACTCCCTGCACCCCTACACCGTCCCCTGGCAGCCCTCCAAGCCCCAGACCTGACAGCGGGTCCGGCTCGGCCCTTGCGCCTGCAGAGGGCCTGCCCCTGTAGTCTTGGATGGCAGCTCTGACCAAGGGGTCTCAGGCTAGGTCTCTGCTGGCAGAGGCAGTAGTAAAGTCCCTGTACCCCGTCTCGCAGGGCACAAGCTCCTTGGCCTCTTTGGGTCCACTGCCCCCAAACTCCCAGAGTCGCCCCTCCGCCTCCGCAGCCAGTGCAGTGTGTCGTGCCTGGTGAAGTGACCACACCCCCGCCCCCAGCCCCGCATCTGGCAGCAGGCCTCCTTCCTCCTTATCACCATTTGCTGTTATCACGGCACACAGCAGGGAATCCCGACACCCCCCACCCACCCCAAGTGGTTATCCAAATCACCACTCCTGACCCAAAAATCAGGCATGGCATTAAAACGTTGCAAATTCCTTTACTGTTATCTTCCCCACCACCAGGATCACGTAGGGTCCAGTCTTTTTACTCCCTAACCCCTTTCCTGAAAAAGGTGCTACCTCCTTCCCAGACAGATGAGAGAGGGCAGGACTTCAGGCTGGATCCACCATTAGGCTCTCCCTCCCCCAGCCTGGAGCAAGGGAGGGAGGGGAGGTGATGGCTGGAGACGGATGGATGGGTGGTGGGCTGAGAAGAGGAAACTAGGAAGGGCTATTCCAGGCTCAGCCCTGCCCCTCCAGCTTTGCCTCTGGGTGTAAGGAAAGAGGCATGACTGACCAGGGCGAGGGCTGTGCCCAGGTGGGCCACGGCCACGCATCAGGTAGTCCAATAAACACCGTGGACTCCCAACAAGGCTGCTGCCTGGTGTTTTGGGGCTGCCGTGGTCGCAGACACCCCACTGGCCTTGGCTCCCTGTCAACAAGCCGGGGATGGGAGCAGGAGGGAGGAGTAGCCCCTGCCTCAGGAGCCTCACAGGCTGCACCAAGAGAGCAGCCAGCCTGGGGCTGGGGCTGCCAGGTCTCGAGGATGGCTGATCCAAACATCATAGATGCTTTTGTTGGGTGGCACCCCCTGGAAGAGAGTGTCTAGATCCCAGAGCAGCCCTGGGGGCCCTCGGGTTTCAGGGGTCACACCCCAGTAGGCAGGGCTGGTTGACGGACACTGGGGACAGGAGGTGGGCGGTGGTGCCAAGGGCATTACCACATTGGGAGTGTAGATAGGCAAATATGAGGTAGGCAGCTGCCCCCATAGGGAGGCCCTGTGTCCCCCACTGGACAGCCCCCCAGGAACTGAGGTGCCCTGTAGTAAGTGGAAAGGCCAGGCCCTAGGCTCTGGAGAGAGGGTGGAGGGCCCGATGGCTCCCCCCTGGGAAGCCTCCCCCTCCACTCTCATGGGGCCCGGAAGGGGGCAGAGGGGCCACAAAGGCCTCTCAGAGGTGGGCAGGGATGGGGTGGGCACGGCCTCTTCCCCACTGTTCTCCATGCCTGTAGGAACTGGGCTGCTCTGTGGAGTTAGCCCCGGCCAGGGTGCCCCCTCCCGGGAGACCCCTAGCAGGGACTTGATGCTGAAGCCCTCGCTGGGTGGCGGCGGAGGACTGGGAGGCCGATAGGGCCGGCCATGCAACACGTAGGGGCCCAGGTCCTTGGCGAAGGCTCCTCTCGCACCCCCGTTCTGCCAGCGCCTGCACAGGGCTGTGTTCTGCAGCCGTAGCGCCTCGGCTGGGATCAGGCTCACGTCGACCGCCCAGAAGTTACCCTTGGCCTGGGGCTTCGCAGGGTCCTTGGGCACCTGGGTGTGGGGGTCAGACATGGGTGGGGCTGCCCGACCCCGGATGCTCAGGACTTCCGCGTGCACCCTGCCCCTGCCCTGCCCCACCTTGCGGAAGCATCGGTTGGAGGAAAGGTTGTGGCGAATGGAGTCTTTCCAGCCTTCGTAGTCTTCCCTGAAGAAAGGGAACACCGCCTGGACCTGACGGATGATCTGAAACCGCCGGGTGGCCGGCCAGCATGGTGAGCCTGGAAGGGGAGAGGGCAGTGCCCCACCCCTCCCCCACTACTGGGCTCAGAGGTGCACGGGTGTCGGCCCCCGTTCTCCCCAAAGAAGAACATATTTGCACCAAAGGACGACAGAGGGGACAGGGGGCTCCCGGAGAAGGGTCGTGCCACAAGGCCCTCAGTTCTCAGGACTGGTCCCACTGGCTGGGTGGGCTAGGAAGGGGTGGGGGCCAGGGCTTGAGCCTGGAAGTAGGTGGGGAACGGGTCTGGGTAAAGGTCCAGCCACGGAGTGCAAGGGAGAGTAGGGGCCAGGGCCATCTCACCTGGGCCAGCTTCAGCCTGCGGGAGGGTGCGGCCTGAATCACCAAGGCAATCATGGCCAAGTAGGTGTAGGGGGGCTTGTCATGTCGCAGGTACCTCTTTTTCCTCCTCTTGGGGGGCTGGGAGGGCGACTCTTCCTCTGGGGGCCGCAGGCGGGAGCCGCTGCAGGGCCCCATGCAGGACGGTAGACTGTGGGCAGGGGCCTGGCCTGGTGGAGGGTGCAGGGCAGTGGGGCAGTGTGGGAGGCAGGGCCAGGGCCTGAGGCCGGGTGGGGGCTGGCTGGCTGGGCCCTTTATCATTCGGATGGAAAGGGGAGGGGAGGGAAGGGAGGAAGAGGCCGTGGGGGAGGGGAGCCTGCCGAGGGCTGCCACAATTAGCAGGTTTTGGTTAATCTGGAAGGGAGGGGCAGAGAGGATTCTAGTGGGTGCTTCTCCTGAGGCCTTAGTCTCTACCTCTGAGCTGCCTTTGGGTGGCAAGGCTCCTCTTTGAAGGGTCTGCGATGACACATGACTACTTTATCCCATCTTCCCTGGCCAGGTCACAGGACCCCACTTAACAGATGGGGGAGTAATTAGCCCATGCTAAGCTCCCAAGGAAGGGTGTCCCTGGAGTTCAAGACCTAGCAGCTAGTAGGCCTTAGGCTATGGGGGCTGGATACCTACCCAGGACATGATCAGGTGGGGCTTTCGGGAAGAGAAGGCCACGAGGCCCCCACCCTAGGAACAAAAGGGAAACACACGGACTCAAGTGATTTCCTGGGAGCAGCTTCAGGAGTCCAGGTGGACTGGCCACCTCCTCCTCCCTAGCCATCTGATCAGCGTCTCTGCTCCTCCATCCAAGCAAGGCCAGTGTTAGGTACTCTGCCCCAAAGCCCAGGTTCTCCTCGCTCACAAGGGGCAAGTTTGCCCGAGAGGATAGCTCTGGGCACTAGCAGCAGTGGTTGGTGCTGGTACTAGAGCTAAGGACCCCCAGACACATGGGGGCCCAGGGATACGCTTTTGCTCTCTCTGGGAATTCAGCTTTTCTTGTGCAGCCCCCACCATGATCACCTCAAAAGGCTGAAAATCTGCAGCATATGGTGGAGCCCAGCCCATCCCAAGGTGTGGAAGGGAGGGACAGGCAGCGGGTGTCCTGAAGGAGGAGTCCAGGCTGGACGGGGCCTTGTCTGTGGGGTGCCACCCTGCTACTGCAGCTACGCCATCGGGTTGTGCTCCTTTTCCCTCTATCTTGGACACGCCCCTCAGACCTCATGTGGTTTCCCTCAGGACTCCGGTCACCACCTCGACGCTGAGGCCCTCTCGGGTGTGTTCCCTAGGCTAAGGCTGCAAAGTCCTGTACCTCAGGAGGCTAAATACTCGTGGCCTCTTACCCCATTCGGTCAGCAAGGCGTCGTTCTTTCCCACAAGTCTTTGTTGTTTTGAGACAAGGTCTCACTCTGTTGCCCAGGCTGGAGTACAGTAGTGTCATCTGGGCTCAGTGCAGCCTCCACCTCCTGGGCTCAAGCGATCCTCCCGCCTAAGCCTCCGGGGACTACAGGTGTGCGCCATAGCGCCCGGCTAATTTCTCACTTTTTGGTAGGGACAAGGCCTCCCAATGTTGCCCAGGTTGGTCTCCTGGACTCAGGCGACCCACCGGCCTCAGCCTCCTCCCAAAGTGCTGGGATCACAGACGTCAGCCACCGCGCTGGGCCTTCCTCTTAAGTCTTAAGGCACCCCTCTCCACTGGCGCCTCCTTGGTGGGGCGCTGGAGGCTCCCCGAGTTCTGACCGCTCCTCTCCGACCGCAGTGTCCCGGGCCGAAACCACCCCCAAAGCTGCCACTCATTCCGCCGGCGTCCGTCCGGTTGCCCACGACGATTCGGTTCTTTCCACCACCGTCCCAGGAGCCTTTGAGCACTCGCCGTCTCACCCAAGGCCCGAGGAGGTCGCGGCCGCAGAGGGATCGCCTGGGCGCCCGCAGCTGAACCCGGCAGCCCCATTCCCTGACCGTCCCTCCTCAGGCCCCGCCCCTAATGTCCCGCCCAGGCCCCGCCCCTAATGTCCCGCCCAGGCCCCGCCCCCGATATCCGTCCCCAGGCCCCGCCCCCGGCTGACTCGCTCCAGGCCCCGCCCCCAGCTCCCACGGGGCACTGCGGCTTCCGGCTGCCGGTAACGCGGGCCGGAAGTGTAGCGTTGCCATGGCGAGGGCCGGGCGCGGGGCCCGCCCCCGCAGCGCCTTTGGGAGCGCGGGGCCCACTGACCCGCGGAAGCCAGCGGACCCGCTTGCGCGGCTGCCGGTGCGGGGCGCGAGGTGAGGCGCGGAGTCTCGGGTCCTGTGGCGAGAGCGGAGCGAGGGAGAGGGTCCCCGGCCGGGCACCGCGGTGGCCGGCCGGGGAAGAATGGGCACTGGGTCGACCTCGAGAGAGGAGGCCGGGCCGGGGAAGGATGAGGCTCAGGGGAGGGAGGGAGGAGGAAGCCCAGGGCAGGGAGGAGGCCGGGGAGGGAGGAGGCCGGGGAGAGGCCCTCGGGAGACGCGGCTGCCGGCACGCGGGCGCCCAGGGCACAGGTCCCTCCTGGCCGCCTTGGGCGTTGCTGGCTGAGTCCCACGGCAGCAGGTGCCAAGGGACAGGAAAGGCTGGGAGCCGGAGGCTGCTGCTGGGCGCTGCGCATTTTGTTCCAAGGTAAAGGTGTGTGGATTCTCCGCAGCCAGCCGGTCAAGTAGACAACTCCGGAATTATCTCCATTTTCAGAGGAGGAAACCAAGGCCGCAGAGAAGGCACTTACCCAAGCTTTGTGGGGGGCTTTGGAGCTAGGCTGAAGGAGAAAGTGGAGTCTCTCTGAAGGAAGCTCCGTCAACTTTGGGGGATTCAAGTGACCTCACTTGTAGTGCTGGGCGCCCGGACCACCCCTCAGGAAATGGGATCAGGGCAAGAATTAATTAACTAAGCAAGCACCCCGCCTGGGAGGGAGTGTCCAGGACTGGTGTGGGCCCCTGTCTGTACCAGAGCGGCGGCCCCGGGCACAATGGGATTAATTTCCATGGGTGCAGAGAGGGGTGTGCACAGAGTCATTCTAGGCTTAGGGGAGCCAGAGCAAAGCTGGCCCTCCCCAAAGCTGTGTGCCTTCCTTTTCATCCTGGATCCCTACTTGGGGGTGGAAGTGGAGGCAGGGGTACCGCTGCTTTTTTCAAAGCGTGTCTAGCTAGCTCAACAGTGAGCTCTCCTGGGCGTCTTGGCGCCCCAGTTGCTTCCTGGTAATATTGGGCTTTCCCTGGGAAAAGGGTCTTGCCTACAGTACCCTGGGCCTCCTGAAGAGACCTTTGGCTGCGCTGCCTGATTCACCTCAGGGACCCAGAGCCACGACTGCCCAGAGGAGCTCTGGCGGTGTGGGGCTGGGTTGCCTGAGGGCCTGGGGGCTGCCTAGTGGACATGCACACCGGCTGACTCCATGCTTGTCCCTGTGGTGGACCTTCAGAGCTCTGCAGGGCCAGCTTCCTGCTCTTGCCCCAAGTCCCCCAGCCTTGAGTTGGGATGGGGGAGGCTTTAGGGGTCCTTTCCCCTCTTGGTGTTTGAGCTGGATTTCCTTCCTATTGTCCTGGCCTCATCCCTCACCTGCTTGGGATGTATCTGGATCCACTTTGCCCCGAGAGTTGCCTGGGTTAGCAGGTACCTAGCAAGGGGACTCCTCCTGTATGTCTTCACTTTGGGGGTCTATGTCCTGGGGATTCTTGAACCTCTGGTCTAAATGAACAGCCAATTGGTACAACTCTCCACTGCATGCAGCTTAGGAACCTCAGTCTCAGCTGATCCCACAGACTCCACCAGCCCCCCAGCTCCACCCTTGTTCTGCCCCCAGCGTGTCCTGCCCTAGCACTGTGCCACATCTATTCATTGGCCAAAATGAGAACTGGGTGGCAGTTCCAGGTTCTTCTGTCTCTCCCACCAAGGCTCTGCTGGCATTGGTGCACACACACCTAAGTGAGGCCTTTTCATCAGACTTGCTCAGCCATGAGCTCAGAGCCTCCCATGTCACATCTGGTGCTGGGACCCCTGTGCCACAGGCTCAGTAGCTGTTCACCTGTTCAGCTCATTGCGGTTACTGAGTGTGAGTGCTTCCTATGAGTCAGGCACTGGCCAAGTTCTGAGGATGCAGCAGGTAAACAAACAGTAAGGGACGTGTCAAGAATTAAAACAGGGCAATGAGATAAGAGAATAACAAGGTAACCACAGAAGAACTCTGAGGAGGTCACACTTAAGATGTGATCCGAGTCCCAAGAAGGAATATGCTATCCTAAGATCCGGTGGAAGAACTTTCCAGACAGAAGAAGCAGCTGATGAAGGGGGGGGTGATGATGAAGCTGGTAGCACCAAATAAATGTGCTAGATCAGGGGTTGGCCAGCTTTTTCTTGAAGGGCTAGGTAGTAAACATTTTAGGCTTTGCTAACCATGTGGTTTCTGGTTTTTTGTTCGAGATGGAGGCTCATTCTGTTGCCCAGACTGGAGTGTAGTGGCGTGATCTCCGCTCACTGTAACCTCTGTCTCCCAGGTTCAAATGATTCTCCTGCCTCAGCCTCCCCAGTAACTGGGATTTTGGGTGCATGCCACCACGCCAGCTAATTTTTTATCTGTTTTTTATGTTTTGAGACAGAGTCTCACTCTATCACCAGGCTGGAGTGCAGTGTCACAATCTCGGCCCGTTTCAACCTCTGTCTCCCAGGTTCAAGCAATTCTTCTGCCTCAGCCTCCCTAGTAGCTGGGACTACAGGCATGTGTCACCATGCCCAGCTAATTTTTGTACTTTTAGTAGAGATGGGGTTTCACCATGTTGGCCAGGATGATCTCGATTTCCTGACCTTGTGATCCACCCACCTTGGCCTCCCAAAGTGCTGGGATTACAGGCGTGAGCCACCGCGCCCGGCCTCTTTTTTCTTTTTCTTTTTCTTTTTGCGATGGAGTCTCCCTCTGTCACCCAGGCTGGAGTGCGGTGGCGTGATCTCCGCTCACTGCAACCTCCAATTCCTGGGTTCAAGCGATTCTCCTACCTTAGCCTCCTGAGTAGCTGGGACTACAGGCGCAGCCACAACTGGCTAATTTTTTTCTATTTTTAGTAGAGACGGGGTTTCTCCATGTTGGTCAGCCTGGTCTCAAACTCCCGACCTCAGGTGATCTGCCCAACTCGGCCTCCCAAAGTGCTGGGATTACAGGCATGAGCCACGCACCCAGTCTTTTTTTTTTGAGATAGAGTCTTCCTTTGTCTCCCAGTCTGGAGTCCAGTGGCACGATCTTGGCTCACTGCAACCTCCAGCTCCCAGGTTGAAGCAATTTTTCTGCCTCAGCCTCTTGAGTAGCTGGGACTACAGGCACGTGCCACCACGCCCAGCTAATTTTTGTATTTTTAGCAGAGACAGGGTTTCGCCATATTGGCCAGGACGGTCTTGAACTCCTGGCCTTGTCATCCACCCACCTCAGCCTCCCAAAGTGCTGGAATTACAGGTGTGAGCCACTATGCTTGGCGTTTTTGTTTGTTTGTTTTTTAAGACAGAGTCTCTCTTTTGCCCAATGTGGAGTGCAGTAGTGGGATCTTGGCTCACCACAACCTCCACCTCCTGGGTTCAATCGATTCTGCTGCCTCAGCCTCCCGAGTAGCTGGGACTACAGGCATGTGCCACCACGCCCAGCTAATTTTTGTATTTTTAGTAGAAAAAGGGTTTCACCATATTGCCCAGGCCAGTCTCGAACTCCTGGCCTTGTGATCCGCCCACCTCGGCCTGCCAAACTGCTGGGATTACAGGTGTGAGCGACCGCACCTGTCTTGACCATGTGGTATCTATCAAAACTCCACAAATCTGCCATTTTGTAAAAAAGCAGCCACAGATAATAGTAGGTGAAAGAACCATGTTGCAACAAGACTTTCTTTATGAACACTGAATTTTTTTTTTTATCTCTTGAGACAGAGTCTTGCTTTGTTGCCCTGAAGATCTCTGAGGATCTGGAGTGCAGTGGGACCCTTGGCTCACTGCAGCTTCCACCTCCCAGATCAGGTGATTTTCCAGGCTCAGCCTCCCAAGTAGCTGGGACTCCAGGCACCTGCCACCATGCTAGGCTAATTTTGTATTTTTAGTAGAAACAGGGTTTCACCATGTTGGCCAGGCTGGTCTCGAACTCCTGACCTCAGGTGATCCGCCTGCCTCGGTCTCCC